AATGGCTCACTCCTAGAGCTCCCCCACACATCTAGACAATGCATCAATCGTCTTATTTTCCAACACTGACCTATACTGAATTTTAAAATCATATCCCAGCAACTTTGACAGTCATCCCTGATGCTTCTTGGTCACCATCCTCTATAATAGCAAGTAATTCAAGCCCCACTGGTCAATCTTGACGATGAAATGTAGACCCAACAAGGCTACCACTTCTGATAGCCAATATAATGACCATCAATTTTATCTCATAGACTGACTTCAATCTAGCTCCGGCTATCAGCACCTGGTTGAAGTAGGTTATGGGTCTGTGATTTTGCATTAACATTGCCCCTAATCCATATCCTGAGGCATCAGAACATTTGGCTGAAATTGGGTAGTGCCAAGATCGGGACCGTGGTCATGAAAATCTTCAATCTCTCAAAGGCCTGAGTAGTTGCCTCTCCCCAAAGAAGTTGTCCTTCAACTGCTCTGTCAGAGTCCACATAATAGTGTTGTATCCACTCATGAATGTCCTGTAGCATCCCATCAATCCTAAGATCCCCTTAGCTCCCTCAGGTTTCTAAGTAAGAGCCATTTCAACATTGTCTTGACATTGGCCTAATCAGTAGCTACCCCTTCCTGAGATACCATGTGACCCAAGTACTCCACACTAGCATGTGCAAAACAACACTTCCTCATATTGGCCTTCAACTGATGCTCCAACAACACCTCTAAAATTGCCCTTAGATGCTCCAAATGCTCCATATTGGACTTGCTATACACCATGATGCCATCAAAGCAAACCAGAACAAACTTCCTGAGGTATGTTCAAAATACCTTGTACACGAGGGAATGGAAGGTAGCATGGGCATTAGTGAGACCAAACTGGATCACTAAGACCTCATAGTGTCCTCTTGTGTCCTGAAAGGTGTCTTCGGGGCATCCTCCTCTCATCCGGATTTGCTGGTACCCGGACTTTGAATCCACATTCGTGAATAGCGTCGCTCCATAGAGCTCATCTAGTAGCTCATCTATCACAATAATATGAAACTTGTCTGGCACAGTCTCCTTATTCAGAGTTCGATAGTCTACACAAAATCTTCAACTTCCATCATTCTTCTTAACCAGTAGAATTGGGCTAGAAAATGGATTACGCTTGGTCTAATGATTCCCATCTCCAACATCTCCTGGATCAGCTTCTCAATCTCATCATTCTGGATCTAAGGGGTAGCGATAAGGCCTGACACTATCGGTGATACTCCCTCCCTCAGTGCGATGGCGTGCTCCTGCCCCTCTGTGGTGGCAACCCCTGGGGTGGCTGAAAAATCTCACTAAATTGTATATAACCGGCTATGCTGAAAAAGGGATGTTCCCCCTTCCCTAAATTCCCTCCAAACTCTATAGCTCCACCAGAAATCCTCCTCCCACCACCCTTACCTAGGGGTGTCAAAATGGGTTGATGGGTCGGGTTCGGGTCAAACCCAAGTTGACCCGGATCTGAACGGGTCAACCCGAAACCAACCCGATTTTGCAAACGGGTTAGGAATTTCAACCCAGACCCGACCCGTGCAGGTTACCGAGTTGACCCGACCCGCACTCGTTGGTCACTTTCCACGCATGAAACTAGTCGCTGGTTCACGCTCACAAAATCAATAGATCTGAGTTTATTTTAATGTGAATTTATAAGGGAATTATAATACTATAATATTAAAATATGTTGCTTGCAGCAAAATAATAATGTGAGGCTAATGACTTTAGTTAATTAATGGTTATTAATGCTTAATCAACTATTTTTGTCAACTTAAGTATATGAAAGTTGTATGTCTATACCTCAACTCCTCACTTAAGGAGTAATTAATATGTAGCATATAATGGGAAATATAGAACAAGTGAAAAAAAAATTATTTAATTTACAAGAGAATATGTAAATTAAAGGCTAGATGTTGTTGTTGTTGTTGTTGTACAAGAGAATATGTAATGATGAAGTGGTCAGTGGTGGGACCGATGACAGCTCAAAAGGATGAAAACTATTAAACTAGCCCTCGGATGAGGCATCAGACGACGTGAGCTTTAATGGGAGTATGGGACCTTTAATTGCAGCCTGGATCAAAGCGATGGTTGACCACATGCGGGCTGACGTGGCAAGAAAGACGGCACGGGCATGGAATGCTCGCCTGATGCGACGAGATGAGGTCGCTGGTTCTCGGGTTAATCGGGTTAATTACGGGTTTTCGGGTCAACCCGACCCGATTTTAAAAATGGGTCGAAAATTCAAACCCGAACCAGGAATTTTTTGGGTCGGATCCGAGTCGGGTTCGGATCGAGTCAGATTTTGACACCCCTACCCTTACCATAATTTTTGGTGACACCATGACTTTAGAGAGCCATGCATCTCCTTTAATAACCATCATTCTCCCTTCCACCATCAACTCCATTGTCAGCGTCCACCAATTCACCTTCGTATCCACCAAGTTATGCAGCTATCTCATCCTAGGATGACATTATTGCTCTCTAGCTCCAATGGGAGGAAATCCTCCCTCGCCTGGATCCCTTGTATGGTCAAAACCACTCCCTTATACACCCCTCTACCAATCTCTATATTTTCAGTCCCCATCATCACCCCATAACACCCTGTGTCCACCAGTTTAAGGCCCCAATTGGTCTATGACCTGGTTGGAGATGAAATTTTGGGTAGCCCACTATCTATTAGCACCACTACCTCTTTATTTGATATTTCTCTTCTCACCTTCATGGTGTGATTTAGAGTGAATCTCACCATTGAGTTCAAGCCTTCAAGGAGACCTTAGCCATATCTAAATACGGCTTTTCCTCGTCTATCGATACCTCACTCCCACCTTCCGTATCAGCCTCCTCATCATCACAGACGGTGATAACCTGAAAAGTTCGGTCTTGACAGCTATGCCCTAGCATGTACTTCTTATCACATCTGAAACATAACCCCTTTACCTGTTTATCCTGCACCTTCGCTTCTATGAGTCGATTGAAGTTGCCCCCCGGGCAAACTCCACTGCTCTTCTCCCTAAGAACGTCACTCTGGAAGGATATTGTCTGGGTTTTGGGTGCTAGAGTAGTAGGGATACTCTCGTAGGCCCCTCCCTTTATGTTGCTTCTGCTAGTCTTCTCCCTCTTATATTTTTCCTCCACCCTCTGAGCTAGCTCCATCGTCTCTCTCAACTCCCTAGGCCATAGTACCCTGAGTTATGCTCGTATGTCCTCCATAAGCCCCTTCATGAAATTCCCCTCCAATCCTTTCTCAAAGATTCCCCTCAGTCTCCCAAACAGCAACTCAAACTTCTCCCAATACTCCATAATTGTCCCCTCCTGAGTTAGGGCATAAAACTACTCATGGAGGACATCATATCATGAAAAGTCTATCAGAGACGTATCTGACGATCTAAGACCACGGTCGCGCCGATCTATTTTTGAGTCTTCATATATATTAGTTTTATTTATTTGCTTTATTTGCTTTATTTTCCGACCCCACGTAGTGGGATAAAGGCTTGATGTTGTTGTTGTTGCTTTATGTATTTGTTTTAGTAGCATTTCTCGTTGTGCCCTTAAGGGTTTTGTCATATGTCGGGCAATGACATCTTTTATTTTTCATTTCATTGTATGAGGCTATATATAGCCCCTTTATGTTTCTTTTGAAGTTAATGAATGAATGTTAATGAAAAAATTCCTGCACCCTTGGGTTTGTGTGAGAGCTTGAGAGCTATGGAGAGAAATTCCTATGAGGGGGAATCGGACCCGACCCTAGTGCTTCTCTCTTTCTTATTATCCTCCCTTCAAAATACCCCAATCCACCCAGAAATGGGGCCCAATGTGTAGGTCCTTAATGGAAAACACTCCAATTCATCGTCGTCCTCTTGGATCTCCTTTCCCTGTGGTTCCACCCTAGGAATCACAGGTGATGCTTTTGATTGCATCTCAAGCATACTTTTCATCATCTCTTTAAAGTTCACAATGCAGTTTTTGATATCTAAGAGTCCCCATCAAGGAATATTTTTACTCTACTCCGGCCTTGAGTTGTTCCATCCCGCCCTCCAATGCCACCATCTTCTTTGCTTCCATTAATTAGATCTAGGTTGCAATTGCAAAAAAAAACAAAGATAACTTATTTTTTCTACCCAATAAAAAGCTCTAATAGCAATTTGATATGAAATACTTGCAGAAATTGAACAATTCTTGACAAAAATTTAGAATTTAGACAAAATGAAACAAAATTTGAGGGAAACTTGGTGGCAAAACACTAGGAAAACTTGACAACTACTAAAATATGGGAGAAAACAAACAAGATAGGATGGATCTTCAATTTGAGAGGAAGATCCGGCTCTCCTAATCCCTAGCCAGCGGTTAGAGCCTAAGTAAACCCTAAGAGAAATACAAATTCAACCAAAACATGCATAGTCCTAACTAATAACTACTAAAAGCAAACAATACAAAGTAAAAAGTCCAAACAACCCCTCCAATTCAAACTCTCCCCCTTAATGCGTGGACCCACCCCCAAGGGGACAGGCTAGGCATAGGTGGAACCAAGCTTCCGCATGGTATAGACATAGACCGATCTCTCCTGGACAAGCCGAACCGGCCCTCCTGGGCTGGTCGAACACAATGATACTTTTTTCCTAATCTGCAAAACTTGGTCCAATCCTGAAACACTCAACTCTTTTCAGGTACAACAACAGAGTTCAATTTTCTATTACAATATCATCATTGCTACAATGCATATAGACTACTGCAGTAGCTTGACAATAATAAAGTGACTTCTTGCAACAACTTTAGTTCAAAACCATGACCTCCTACAATAAATTTGTCACAGACTTCTACAAAGCCATTGTTGCTCTAATGTCAAGCCAATGTGAGTAAATAGAACGATTGGAAGAATGTTGGGTTGTTATTTATTTCAAAATTCAAGGTCTTTAAATAGAAATTTATAGTTCCATAACTACCTTATCTATATAAACCAACTCCACAACGAAACAAAACCTTATCTAGAATTTAAAATTCAAAATACAAACTTATCCAAAACATGTTTAAAATTCAAACCTTTGACTTTTACAATTGTAATCTAAATTTTGATCAACAGTCCTGCTATCATGGCCTTGATCTCTCTCATATGATTTTTGATAGGTAATCTATCATCTCCAGTGAACTCCGAATGACTAGATCTTCCTATCCAGCAATATGATCTAAAAAATTTCTTCATAAATAACCTCTTGGATCACTGACCAAGACCTAAAATGCCTTGATCTCACTAATAAGATTTTTCAACTAGCAAACTATTATTTTCTAGTATTTTTTCTGTAAAGTTGCATGGATTTTATGATTACACGAGGAGTTTGAAACATGTAAAAACCAATCAACTAGTTGAGAAAAAAAAATTTAGCGTTGGCTAAAAAATTCCATCATAAATAACCTCTTGGATCACTGACCAAGACCTAAAATGCCTTGATCTCGCTAATAAGAATTTTCAACTAGCAAACTATTATTTTCTAGTATTTTTTCTGTAAAGTTGCATGGATTTTATGATTACACGAGGAGTTTGAAACATCTAAAAACCAATCAACTAGTTGAGAAAAAAAAATTAGCGTTGTGTTAATCATTGTTTAAAATTGCACAATATGAGGCCCACCTTAGCGCAATTCCAATAAAAAATGCCTCGAGGCTTACGCCTCGAGATTTTTCTATGAGGCTTATGCCTCAGCTTGGATAAGGCCCGCCTTAAAGCGCGCCTCGCCTCTCTAGCATGAGGCATACGCCTCACTATATTTATGAATTTTTCAAATTTAAAACTTACCTAAATTTTATACAAAAGCCCTCAAAAAATCATGCCTTCTTGCACCCCCAACCTCAACAACTTCCTCTCAATTGCCTCGACCTCCAACCCACTGCCTTCGCCGTAGCCACCACCATCATAGCCGCCGCAAGAGATCATTAGAAAGCCGCATACACCACCATCTCCTCTTAAAATTTTGGAGTATTATACTTATGTTAGCGATAAACATTTATAAAAAATGAATATGACTGAAATAGATAAAGAAGAAAAGATTGAGAGTATTGGACCCTACAGGAAGAGACCGGGAAGTGACCAATTTGTTATGACAGGGACTCAAATAAAAATCCTCTTTGTAATGATAGTATATATGATTTCGGAGTTGTTGCCAATTATTTCATCTTTCTATAGTAATTCAACGTAGATGAGTAGGCAACTAAGAAAGAAAAAAAAAGTTAGAGTTGAATTTGATGTTATATGATACTTTTAAGCAATTCATATATTTTATATTGTTTTGTTCATGTAATATTTGGATTTTAACTCTATTTCATATCATTTTTCATTTAACACTTTACATTTTATATAATTTTTTATTTCATATGTATGTAAATTTCTTACTTCATAGTTCAATAGAAAGTTAATATGTCATTCTTTAACATATTATTTGAATATTATATAAAAAATAACTTTTGACTTTACGCAATTTTTAGATTTTGAGGCTTACGCCTCAAAACGCCTTGAGCCTTACGCCTCGCCTCACGAACGAAAAATGTCTCAATACCCAATTGTGTAATTGTAAACATTGGTGCTAATCCTTTTAACATCATGAGCAAGTGAAAGCCTTAGATTTTCAAGATGGTTAACTCCTTGTGTATCAGTGAGGCTTGATTATATTGACTTGGGTGATTTATTTCCTCTTTCTTTCATTCATTTTGATATTATATGAAAGTGTGATTAATTTTTTTGATACAATCAGCTTACCTATAAGTGTGTATAATAATTATATGATTTTTT